CACAATGTATATAAACTTTGTAAGCAAACCAATTAAAAAGAATATGAAATACAAAAAGAATATGTATACAAATGATGTATGAAACAATATAAATGAAAAGATTGTATAAACACACACACACCCCCCCCCCCGGTAGACCAGAGAAGGCTACAGTGTTGGGTCAGGTGAATTCCATCTGATCAAGAGATTTGGGAGCTGAGACCTTTATCTAAAATCTTCTTCGAGGGATGAGAATTGACAAGTAGGTTTCACTTGGTAGAAAGGAAGTATACTGGCTCACTAGAGGCTAAAACCCTCTGCATCATGCACCCATAATTACCATGTCCAGATGACCTGGAGGGAGAGATGGGGGCGAGAACTGGGGATGGTGCTGATAAGCTGCACCCTTGCTCTCCCGTGGCCTCTGAGGTCAGAACAGCATTTATAACAAGGAATCAATCCGGAGTCACTAGGAACTCCTGTCACTTAGAACTACAGTGCAGATCTTGCATGTGAAAAATATACCAACCACATCTGTTGAAGAGAAATCAAGTTCTAAATGGCATAGTGTGTTATACATTGGGCTTTTAACCCAGAAGGTCAGTGGTTCAAGCCCACCAGCCACTCTAAGAGAGAAAGATAGACAGGCGTTCTCTTTTAAATTAAAACATCCAGCCTTAGAAACCTGATGGAGACCAAGGGTTGGGATCAACTTGATGGCAGTGGGTTTAATTTGGGGATACTTTAAGGTCTCAAAAATTTTCATCCTTTAAGAACATTCTAACAGTCAAATGGTGTATGTAGGAGAGGGTGTGGGATTTTGAGTCGATAACCTGCATTCTCCATCCTCAGTATGATCCCGTACCCCTAGTTCCGTACTGATTCTGGGCTTTCACACACCTGGACCCTGCTAGACTTCCCTTCTAAAATCCAGAGGGCTGGTCTTTACATAGACCTTCCTTTCTCCCCACTCTTCTGCTCAGAAAAAGAGCCTAAAAAGAAGGATGCCCAGTACCTTGTTGGGGATGTGGTGTGGGGTGTGACTGGCCAGGCCCACTGTGCACCAAGCAAAGCTGTGCTGATTGAAGTTGGGGTTGCTGGGTGCCCACCAAGGGCTCCTTCATGAAAATATTTCTCCATCAACTAAGCCTGGTGGCTGACAACGTGCCAGGCTCTGCTCCTGTGGACTACAGCCGAATATAAGCAGCCTTGTGTAAAAATGTACCCCTCTGAGACAGGGAGGGCATTCCTGTTGGGATGGACTATGGGGCTGAGGTAGGATGGGGCACTCTAGGAACAGGGATGGAACCCTTTTTTGTGGACTTTCAGTGTTTCCAACTGTGACTTCACGCTCCAAGGTCATGCCTCTTCACAGACCTTCACCAATGACAATCGAGGACGAGAAAGTCACAGCATAAGATGCTGTGGCTTGGGAAGAGTCTTTGCCGTGAAACATTTTATTAACTGAATACTCTTTTTACAAAAATAAACCATTTAATGAACGAGAAGTACAAAAGCTTCTGGATAGACAAACTCCAGGAGGGGGAGAGCCGGGTCTGGGCTGCTTAGCTACTTTCACTGAAAGCAAATGAGGCAGAAAGGCCTGGCCCCACCCCCGCCCCAGGTCCTGGCTCAAACAGCAAACTGCTTCCTCCTCACCCCTGTCTTGGCTCATATGGGTGTGCGCTCTTCTGTCACTGTCCCCCTGGGCTGGCTTGTGAGCTCCCTGTCAGTAGGCCAGAGTCACCATGCCTCAGAGCATCTCTCGGACACATCTCCGGTCTGGAGCTCGGCCGAGAGAACGTTTGGTGGCCGATTGTCCTCACGCAGCCCCCTGCCTGGCTTTGGCTACATTCTCACATTATGAACACAGTGATGGGGCTGCCATGATTCATCTCAGTGGGAGGCACAGCTTTCTGGGAGAGGTCAGCCTGTGCCTTGCTTACAGCCCAGAAGGCTGGTGAGGCAGCCAGCAGCCAGGATTCCCGGCCCCGGAGCCAGCAGTCCACACTAGGCTGGTAAACTCACATTTTAACATTTTGTGTTATTGCACATTTGTCCTGGTCACATCAGTCTGGCTGGGATGTCAGCCTTGTCTGCAGGGGATCCAAGGTGACAGCGTGTGCTGCTGGTGCAAGCCACTCTCTCCAGACATGCACAGCTGGCAGGGCAGGACAGCTGGTCCGCTGAGCACTCAGAGAGGTCACTCAGAGGCCCTCACATAAGTGGTCTTGTTGGCATCAGGGACCACTTGGCTCCATCCTGTCTTGAAAAAGACCAGCTGCCGACCTGGAGGGAGAGGAGAAAGGTAGCATGACTAGATGTCCTTTTGCTGGAGGCAGGGTCACTTCTCTGATGGGACTGCTGGAAGGGCGCGTACAGGCTTCTCTCTCATCACCTTTACCTGCTGCTCTGGTTTCTCCTGGGGTCCTACCATCACCTGCCAGCTCATCCAGAGAAAACCACTCACTCCCCTCAGCATGCCTTCTGCCCCGGGCTCACCTGTCCAGGTGGTCTGGTTGGTGAGCACAAAAGCCCGGCACTGGGCATGGCTCTCACAGACATCCACGGCCTCGGCCAGGCTGAACACTGAGAGGAGGCAGCCACTGTGATGGTAGGAAGGCCAGCAGCGGTAGTTCTCCTGGGGGATGGTGCTGTCTGGGATGCGCCGGTATTCTGTTATGGGAGGAACGACCACATGTGAGAGGGCAGCTCGGGGGGCTTAAAAGTGAGGGCTGTGGTCACGCTGTGAAAAGGGCTGAGCCTCGCTCCTCCAGCCGGCCCCAGAGTGGAGAGGAAACGGTCTGCCCTGCTGAAACCAGGCTGACTGGCTAGCTGGTCAATAAAGGCAAAATGTGCAACAGCTGAAGAAAGGCCAGCTGCGATGGCGCTATGTGACTCAGTGTGTGAGAGAAGGGCTGTGTGCTCCTGGGCTGATGGTGGCTGTGAGCACTAGGCCTTTCTCCGAGCTGTAGGGTCTGGATGGATTTGGACCGTAAGACTTTTGGTTAGCAGCTGAGCTCTTAATCATTTCCGATATCGATGGCTGACTTCTCAGATGCAGACCACCATGCCTTCCTGCTGATGTACCTCTGGGTGGGTTCAAATCTCCAACCTCCTGAGAAGCAGCCAAGTATAACTGCTTGTACTACCCAGGGTCACCCCTAGGCATACACCCCCTTAAATATGAGTGCATGCAGCCGGTTCCGGTAAGCACAGGAGGGCGGGCACCTGCTGCCCAGGCTGACTGCTGAGGGCAGAACATTCAAAGTTAGGCTCCTCCAGCAGCATGCACGTGAGTCACCAGGGGAATTTTGCTAAAATGCAGATTCTGGTTCTAGATGTTTGGAGTGGAGCCTGAGAGAGTCTATTTTTAATCAGCTTCCAGGTCAAGCCATTGCTTCTGGCCTGCAGAGCAGCTTTAAGCAGTGCCCTCAGTGTCCCTGCTCCCTAGTTTGGAGGACAGAGGTTAGGTAAACGCCTCAGATGGGACTATGAAGCATAAGACAAGGATCTGGGGGTGGAAGAAAGGGTAATGATGGTCCAATGGTGACCGATTTTATAAAACATAATGTATGAGAATGATTGTAGGAAACACAATGTGAATGAAGAATAGTGTGAAACACAATGTATATAAACTTTGTAAGCAAACCAATTAAAAAGAATATGAAATACAAAAAGAATATGTATACAAATGATGTATGAAACAATATAAATGAAAAGATTGTATAAAACACAACATACATGAATGAAAGTAATTATTATATGGAAACCAATACTTTTTTTTTTTAAAGGAGACATTTAACTGAGTGCAAAACTCATTTGAAAGCTGCTCAGCTCCATGCCTCCTGTCCATTCCTACTTCCCAATGCTCAGGGAGCCCAGCTCCGGGCTGATAATGGAGAAGCCCTGGGTCTCTGACCACCCCACCCTCTTGCTCCTTCTTCTACCAGGGACCAGACCAAAGTCCAGAGCTGGCTGTGATTTATAGCCCCATAAACAGGCGTCCTCAGGGACAGAGCCAGCCATTGTTCACCTCGTTAAACTTTATTTACAGGGCTAACGAGGGCTCTTCCACGCCTAACACTGGTCAGGGCTCCTTTGAATACAGAGGCTGCCCACCCCTTGCCCCTGCCAACCACAGCTAAACCCCAGGGCCTCGTGGAGGGACCACAGCCAGTGACCAGAGGCCAGAGTTCTCCCCCTGCCCTAGGTCTTCCAGGCCCCTTTCAGTGGGAGCCCTTCTACCTTCCTGCCCACCGAGCCCTGGGCGGCCAGGGGCAGGAAAGGAAGCAAACATGCACGGTGTTCCCGCTGTGTAACAGGAACCAAGCTAATTGCTTTCACACACCTCACCTGGCATTTGGTCCGTAAAACAATTTTGTGAACCAGGTAGTACTGAATCCAATTCACAGATGCAGATAGTGAAGTTCATAGGGAACTTGCCCTAAGTCTCCAACCTAGTAAATAATGGGATGTGGAACCACCTAGCAAAGGGGTATCAGTGGCTACCAATACCCTAATTGATGGCAAAAATCATGGTTGTCTCAGCTCAGCTAGATGGAGGGATCTGGGCACCCCTCAGAGTGGCCTTTAGAGACAGAAGTTCCCCAGACAGACAGCCAGGTCGCCCTGTTAAAGGCCCGTCTGCTCTCCCCCCTGCTGCCCACTCCCTAGCCCCGGGGGTCCCGGTGGGCTACTCACCAGCTCGGCTGCCTGCAGTGGAGTTCTGCAGGTATTGCCCACTCCGGTACAAGTGCAGCACCTTCTCTAACTGGGCTAAGGTCTCATCCACGCCCCATGCGAGCTCTCCTGCAGAGGATTGTGGCAGTTGGAGGGTGCCTGTGCTCCCACACCTCCCAAGGAGGTGGGCAGCTGCCTTTCCCTCCCTTGCTCTTCTGTAACCTGGACTCAGTTGAGTGGTGAACCGGGGAGGGGTTTTCCCCAGAACCCTGTCTTGGGTCAAGACGTTTCTGGACCATGTGCTAATCTGGGTCATACTGGCTGGCCTACTCCTGCTGGGGTGAGGGAGGGCAGAGAGAAGCGAAAGGCCCTGGAGAGCTCACCTGTGGCATTGACGATGCTGTCCAGCAGAGGCCGCAGTGAGGATGGGGCACTGTGGGGCAGGAGGTATGTGAAGAAAAATCTGTGGCAGAAGGAAACCAGGGGTTTAAAGGCCAAGCTTTTGGGGACACAGTCTTCTACTACAATTTAGGAAAGGACCTCAACCTGGCATCAAAACCAGGCATACCGCCAGTTTCCACCATGAAATCTACCTATATTTGGAGTGTAAATCTCAACATGTTAAGACTATAACTAATTTACACCACATTAAACAATGAGCATTCTCCCCAGACCTTCCCTACCTACTAGCCCGACACTATCCTCCATGTGAGAACAGCCCTCTGGCGGGGAGCTTCCCAAAGGTCAAAGGTTCCGGGTAGGAGAGGACAGGGTCAGCTTGACCAGCTCTAGGCTCTGAGCCTGAGACTATTTTAAGAAGTCTCCAGCTGCCACCCTTCAAGTCCAGATTCTCCTTGGCATTGTCTATTTTTAGCCTAACCATCCAGGAGCCTGAATGTTCCCTTCTTGACTGGGCAGGAGGCCCCTGCACATCCTGGCTGAGTCCACTGGTCAAGGGGTCTTCTGGCCTCCTGGACCCACACTGTCTCCCCTTCATCTGACTCCTGAGTCCATTCTCCCTGGCTGGGGCCCAGGAGAAGGATGAGGTCACCTGTAGGCATTGTAGAGGTTCCGCTTCTCGTTCATGGCCTCACACCAGCCCTGGGCAGAGCAGGGGAGGGTGAAATTCCGGGCTGGAAACTCAAGCACACAGTCGGTGCTGCTCAAGCATGGCGTCTCCTCCACGCGGGCATCATCCAGGTCTGTCACCTTCAGCTCGCCATCCACCAGCACAAACTGTCGAGGACGGAAGTCCAGCAGTGTGACTGAGCCCAGTGGGGAGTGGGCCAGGTGGTGGAGGAGACGGCCCAGGCTCAGACAGATCTGAGGAACAGATACAGACAGATATCCACAGATGCTTACTGATTCGCTTCTGGGGGAGCCTCAGGGACCCCAGGGCTGGCTCCTTCCTTTGGAGATCTGGACTTGGCTCCAGGTTGATCATTTTCTCCACAGGGCCCAGTGCTGTTAACTAAGGGCTGAGACCAGGGGCCTTTGAGAGGTGGTAAGAATCTTCTATTAACCTTGACCGGCCTGATCCCATAAGTCATATGGACCAAGTGACAGTGGATAACTGAACTCCTCCCAGGATCTGCTTCTTAAAGTGTCACTTAAGTGTATATATGGAAGCAGGTAAACAGTCAAGAAGACCTATAAGTCTTTTGTAGGCCAAGCACGCTGCTCTTTGGCTGCGGTGGTGTGCGTTTGCTTGGGCTGCGTTTGTTAGGGGTGCAGCAGGGAAAGGATGAGCGTGGAAGGTCAGAATCCTCCATGGCTTAGTTCTTTTCTTTAACCCTTTGACCATTAGACAGGTCAGCCTTCGCTCCCTCCTTTTCCCAACCCCAACCGCTTGGCCAAGGAGACGTGCCCTGCTCAGGAGGGCCAGCCTTCTAAGAGGAACCATCCCAGCGCCCGAGCTCCCCGCTCACTCGGAATCGGTCCTCCCAGGAAGTCTGCAGCAGCTGGATCATTTCCACGGGGGCGCCAAGCTCCGTGATGGTGGTCAGGGTATCGGGGATGTCCTCACTGTCCTGGTAGCAGTAGCCATAGAGCTGGGGGAGGCATAGGGCAGGTCATTAGATGACAGGGTCGGGGGTGGGGACAGACATGGGGAGGGCTGGCTATCCAGTGCCCCTTCTTGTGCCCTCACCATCCAGCCCAGGCTGGCGGAGAAAGCCCTGGCTTTCTCTTTTCCTATGGTACAGTGCTCACTGACCACATGAGTGCTCATCTTTGACTGCTCAGCCCAACGGGCAGATCTGACTACCTCGTGTAAACCATGCTGTAGGCACTGTACTGTGTTCTTCACGTGTGTAACACAAGTCTTATAACCACCCTAAGAGGGCATAAAAGGGAGTCCTGGGGTCCTCGTGGTAAGGAGTTGCACAGCCAGCCCAAAGGTACTCGGTTTGAATCCACCAGCTGCTCCATGGGAGAAAGATGGGCAATCTCTGGTGTGATTTACTGCCTCTGAAAGCCCACTGGAGGGCCAGCTGAGTCAGTTCTGATTTGACAGTCTAGAATAATATCACCAAGGGGCAAAATGTTTTATAAGAATCAACTTTGCAGATGAGGAAACAGACTCAGAGAGGTTACGTTGTTTGCAAAGATCACACAGCTGATAAATGAAGCAGCTAACGTTTAAATTAATGCCTCTCTGACTTCACACCTGGCTCTCTCCAAGACAATCCTTTGCTATTATACAACCCACCTAATAAATATGAGCTCCTCCTGGACTCCAGTCTTTCTCCATTTCTCGGTTTCCCCCCCTTCCTGGGCTTTTCATTTTCTGTTCTGCTCAACTCTTACTGGAGGGAAAACAAGCTCTTCACAGCTAGTAATGAGTTAAAGAGAACAGGGTACCTATGGGGCACCTTCCTGGTATTCTTTGCATTGTTGCCTCAGGAGGGGTCACTCTTATCAGTGGGGGTTGTGCTGAGGGGTAGTTGTGGGGAAGTCCAGATTTTTGGGGAAAGGTCACACAGGGAACTGTCTGCTCCTGTTGTCTGGAGGAGGGAGATAGTGCCACCCAACAGCAGTCAGGGGCACATCCTGACTTTGTTACAAACACCTCACTCAATCAGCATCCTCTGAGAGCTCCGCCCTCCCTGGACCCTCCAGACACACGCACATCAGCTGGGAACTTGAGTGGGGCTCAAAACACACAGTACCTTGTAGGGTGGGGACACAGAGGCAGAGTTCAAGACTTCGGGTTGAGGAGAGGGGGATCCCGTTTCCGAGTGTCCCCTCTCTGCTGGTCAGGGAAGGGGCACCTGCCATCAGATCACCTAGGCTCTAACTTCAGAGGCCAGGGCACCTTCCTCTTCCCTCTCTCTCTACTCTCCCATCAGCTTAGAGAGGCCCCAGACCCTGCTTGGGGTTGGGGGGGGGGAGGCAGGGGGAGCAGCCCTGGGGCCTGGTTCTCATTTTCTTGCTCAATGTCTGAGCTTTTGTGGGAAACTTCTGAAGGTTATTAAACACCCGGAGGTCGTTAAATGCGCTGTTAACGAGGTATTAATCAACACCCCTCAGGAAAAAATAAAAAGACACCATTAACCCCCCCCAGGAAGCATGAGGCTGAGCATTTCAACTGCATCTTTTGTTTGTTTGAGAGAAAAATATATCTTCTACTGGGCTCAGATTCTGGGCAGGAGCAGGTCTGGGGCCCCACTGGCGCCTGAGGCCCCAGGATGTGGGGAGGTGGGGGGGATCCTTGTGCCCTTTGACCCCGGGCTATAGGAGCATCTGTCACATGAAGGAGTGTGTGGTGTGAGTGTGTGTTTGTGTGTGTGAGAGAGAGACAGAGAGAGGCTGTGTTGGGAGGGCTCACAGAAGATGGAGAGAAAGACCTCACCCAGGCCGTCCCAGCCTCCAGTCAGCGCTGGGTGCTGGGTGACAGATAGATCGTGGGGCATAAAGCCTTGAGTATATTCTATCAGATCCCATCTGTGGGAGCTTCACAGACAGGGAGGGGACCTGAGAGATGCTGGGCAAGTGGGGATTCTAAGGAGTACTTCCTGGTTGTTCCCAGTTCATTAAACAGTCAAACGGTTTTGAAATTTTAAATTAACGAAGAGGTTTTAAGACATTATTTCTGTGCACATCCACGGCGAACTGGAAAAGACCTCGCTGTAAAGCTTCCTTAAGACAGAGATGGTACTGCTGAGGGAACCAGAGGGATACCAAGTGGGGAGTCAGGGTACACAGGGGGAGATGCATCCCAAAACAGTCCCTAAACTCACAGTAAGGGAATTTTAGTAATAGTAGGTAACTTTTCACATTTCCTAAGCCAGGACATCCCATATTATTAATCATTTCTCCCTATGTTGACCAACTGCAAGTTTTTGTGTCTAAGAGTCACACAGCCAACTCCAGGAAGATCCAGCCTTGGTGAAGCAGGGAATGGGTGACAAGAGTCCATTGTAAGTCTTTGTTTTGGGGGCTTCAGAATGGTGCTAGCTATGCACTTGCCCTCTGTTTAACGTTAAAGAGGAGATGATTCTGTGGTAGGTGTGTGTGAAGGGGGAAGTTAGCTGGCTGCTTTTTAGTAAGTTTGGGTGGGGTTAGCAAGGGAGAAGTGCCTTAAAAGACAGGAAAGCGCATCAAACATCAAACCTGTTTCAGAAGAGAGGGGTCTTGGGTCAATTAACTAACACTTAATATCCTGCTAAGTCGCTCAAAACCTCTCCTCCCCTTCAGAATCTGGCTGACACCCCAAGGTTTCAAGGAGCTCCCAACAGCCCCTGGAAAGGGAAGAGAACAAGATCCTCCCAGTTAGAATGGCCACGTAACCAACTGCTTACTCCCTGAAGCTCCAGACTTCAGGCAGCTGTGCAACCAGGCGGAACTGCACACAACTATTGGTTCTGCTTGATCTCCTAAATCCAGTGCAGGGCTCAAGACTCTCTCAAAAGTACCTGGCCAGAAGTGGGGTGTCCTGGGGGGAATGCGAACCAGAAGGAGCAAAACAAACTTTCTGGCCTACTCATGACGTCACCACTCGCCCTCCTATCCTGCAGTGTCCATTCAGTGTTCCAGACCTGGGCCTAAACTCAATCTTGAGGAAAGAAGACTAATTTGAGGGGGTTGGGAGGTGGGAGATACTGGCAAGATTCTTCTGCGGGAATTGTCAACATACTCTGTGCTCCCTGGGCTCAGATCACTTGGGCATGTGCATCCCTGACCAAGCAAACTCAAGGGCAGAGATCTGGGGGTAAGGAGCAATTGTGGAGTGTTAGGGAGTGCTGCTGTTAAGAGTCCACACACCTCTGCCTGGCGAGGCACAGCAGTGATCTGGCTCTCCTCTCTTTCTCCAGTGAACAGGCAGATTTCAAGTCCCATTTAGGAGGAACTGGGGAATGTGGCCTTCCCAACCTTTCAGTCTCCAGGCCACAAAGCCCAAGGTAGTGCAACTGAGTCTGTCCCCTGAGAACTGTGCTTTCAGGACCCTAATACCACCAGGCCTTTCTTTAAGGCCTGGACAGTCTGCCTGGTCATTTCTGGGTGGGGCTCTGAGTTTCTGGCCTGCTCCAAACTCCTCCTGTCCTTCCAGCAGCTTTTAGGCTGGAGACAGAATAAGGATGACTTTGGGGGACTCCAGCCTGACACAGGGTTTCTTCCTAGCCTTTTCCCACCCCATCTTCTTGCCCACTCCATGCACAAAGCCAGACCAGTCCCTGTTAGGGAGTTAAGAGAACAACTATTAGGCATGCAGATTCTAAGGAGATCCTATCACTGGAGTGGGGATCCTGACTCAAGGTTGGATGTCTTGGTTTGGGGACGTTTTACAGGTGCTCAACACCATGGCTCGACAAGTACAGTCCTAAGTCCTAATGGGACACCTTCCACCTGTTGGGCTGAAGTGTCTTGAGTGTCTCTGTGCCGATGGGATGTCCAGGAGTGTCTCAGTAAAGCGACGGCCAGGCAGGAACGAGACGCACGGTTGTGCTGACATCGTGGAGCAGTGGGAGGCATCATGGTCCGGTCCCGGTTCTGCTCTAACTTAAACTCGGGCACGATCATTGGGACCCACTAGCTATGCACCAAGGGGCCTTTTTTCCAACCAGAGGGATGGTCCTCAGCCCGGTCCCCACACCCTCGTACCTGCAGCACGTTGGGGTGCCGCAGCCGCTCCAGCAGCACCATCTCCTTGAGCAGTTTGTGGGCCGCCAGCCGATAGCAGCCCCTCCGCGCCCCGAACTCGCGCACACAGCTGCCCAGATCGTGGCCGCTGAAGTCCACCGCCTTGAGCGCCACCGCGGCGCCGCCGGGCAGGCGGACCCGGTACACGGCCTTGGTGTAGCCCGAGCCCACGTACTGCGCGCCGGACACGTTGCGGAGCGCGGCGCAGCCCAGGCGCAC